AAATCTGTCTGCTGGTTTTGGTCTGTCTTCCTAGTCCACAAGAAGAATCGGCAAAAATCCCAGGGCTATTCACATTGGGCTGGAACAAAAATAACTGCGACAGAAAGGATTTTCCAGAAAGATCTGAGGGAATTATAAAAAATAAGAGGCAAGTTATGTTCTGCAATGCATATTTGCACAGTTTCAGGTTAAATTCATGAGAAATTGGCACACTTTCCAAAGCTATTGCAACCGAGAGACTCGGGAACTGTATAAGAAATCACAAGTAGCTCTGAATTCTCTTGCACCGAAAATCTTGTTTTACCTATCTCACTTGCAACCCTTTTTGTTAGAGAAGAACTGACTTACTCTGACAAACCTGTTTCCCAAGCAGGATGGACTTACATGATATATGATCTGTGGCGGTGAAGTTGGCCTCACAGGCTTTATGAGTGTCCACGCTGGAGGTGAACTAAGTGAAAGCAGTGCAGAGGAGCCTGAAGCAGTATGCTTTGCAACTGAATGCTGATGACACCATTCATCCAGGAGATATGAAATGAATCAAAGGTAGAAAGGCAAAGACCCATTATGTAGAGGGTGTTTTGGCAGTTGAAGATTGGGAGTTAGTGGAGCAGGCTGGGCTTGTAGCCCCCACTATGAAGAAGGCCTTGAGGCTAATCTGCTTAGGGCCAGTCATCCACACTGAGGGATGTTATGCTTCCACAACCTACAAAATTTTTTAGGACTTTTTCAGCCAGCAGGTGAAAACTGCCTCTTGGATTGCCAGACTATTTCCACTGTAGGAAGCTATTTTATAGAGAAGGTGAGGTCATGCCCCTTTCCCAGTTTTTTGAGGGAAGTACATACCCCATATGGTGTTGGTAAATAGACCTTGCTTTCTGACCTCCACTGAGGCTGCTCATAGAGAAGAAGCTATAATCTGACCCCCAACTTTCATCCCCCCTTTAGTTTTGAAAAATGCAGGAGGCTTATTTTTATTCAAGAAGGGATAAAGAAATAATTTGGAGGCTGGAGGCCAGTCCCTGCTGGAAAGCATGTAGATTGTCAATAATGGTACAGATGTGCTAGCCCTCATTAAAACTTCTGCAAGAATTAACTATTTTGGGTTTTTTTTTCTTCTTTTAATTGTTACTTCCTAGTTACTTTTAATCTGCAATCCTGTTTTTTGGTGAGGTTTTTGTTATTATTTCGGGTTTTTTTTACAAGAACTTAAGTGTTGACAGCTCTGGAACCTTTTCAGAGCATCACTGTTTTCTCTGCTTGTAGGAATAACAGCAGATTAACTATGATTAAACCTTTTGTTGTTGTTCACAGATGGTGATGGGTCATTTTCAGATCATGCATTCTCAGGATCAGGTAACAATTAGGTGCGTTACACTAAGGGATTGTATTTACACTCTGTATCAAGGAGAGCTCTGAAAGTGCTTAATGCAGTGCATGTTCGAAAGGGAATTTAGCTGCACTCCCTACTCAGAGTGCCCTCATCAGGGACCTTTGTACCATTCTCTTCCGCCTAAAACCAGAAAAATCTAGAGTCCAAACGGGGGTGAAAAATGGCTCCTCGAAGCCAGATTTCTTTGCTTTCTACCTTGTTTTGTAGTATAGCATTCTTCACTTCCAGAGCAGAAGGTGAGATGCAAAATCTGTTATTATTGCTGTTGGGGAAGCAACTGCACTAACAAGTTGCAGTGTAGTGATTTTCAAAGGCAGTACATCTCTTATACTTTTGTTAACAATCTGTGAAAGTATCCTAATAAGCTTGATGCAAAAATTACTGGTTTTGTGAGATGAAACCATTTCTGAGATGATTTGATGAAAATAAAACTTTCTATCTTTCTTAAAAGATAGAAAGCAAAAACATTTCCGAATTATCTAAACAAAATATTTTTAAGATCTTGTCAGATGATAAATTTAGAAAATGTTAATGATTTTGACAGTTGCTATTTGCTCTGAAATTTGTTTTTAAGCTTTATGCTCTTGCGTAGTGAGTAAACTATGTCTTACCTAGCTCCAGTTGTCATTGGCAGAGCCAGCTATGGGAGTGTTTGGCAGGGGGTATCTGTCATTGCACAAAATGAAAACTGAACAAAATTGAAAGGAACAAGCTGAAATCTTCTAAATTAAGGAGTCTGTAAAAAATGCTTCATTGAAAAGTCTGTCTGATAATTACAAAGATGCAATTTAATTTTTTTTTTTTTTACCTTATGTGTTACTTAGGACAGACTGGTGCTGAGCCACAAGTGACTATCGCACTTGGACGGCTCAAAGGGAGACAAACAAATGTGAAGGGGACAGACAGACTTGTAAACGTTTTCCTTGGGATTCCTTTTGCAAAAGCACCTGTTGGATCCTTGAGGTTTTCCCCACCTGAACCACCTGAACCCTGGAATGATCTGAGAGATGCAACTTCTTACCCACCACTGTGAGAGCTGTTCAGGTCATTTGTATATAGAAACTGCTCATGTTTGTCAGTGTTGTCGTGTTTATTAGGGTACAGAGGTCTGATTTTTGGTAAGAAGCTTGTATTGACTGGTAGTGAATACGCTGCCAGTACTGAAATACTTCATAAGAACTGTGGGACTAGGAAGCACAAAGAATTCCTGGGAAATTCCTGTCTTTGGAAATCATGTTTTCTCATTATAATGTGCTGAAATAATTCAGCTTCTTAAGTACAAGTATAGAGCTGTGCTTTTACAGGTTGCACCTCTAACTGTATATAACTAACACAAAATTCAAACACCCTGTGGGAATTCAGTCTGTGGGGCAAAAGAAAGTGTGTTTTCTCTATCATTGTTACATTGTTGCTATTGCAGTTTTATTCCTAATAGTCACGCTTCCTTTCTTTTGTGAAGATGTCCTCAAGATCTGTCCATGTTGAAAACAGCTGAAAAAAATTTTAAAGAAAAACACCTTCCATTCCAAACTTCTGAGGACTGTTTGTATCTAAATGTTTACAGCCCTGCTGGTTCAAACAAGAAGGACAAGTTACCTGTACGTAAACCCATTTTACAAACTTGTGTCGTTCAAAATTTGCACCTAATGATAGCTCCTAAGTCACTTAATTGCTTTTGAAAATGTGATGCTGCATTAGCAAAAATAATATTATTATGTAAAATTCAAAGTCCACCAACCTAAAATTCAGCTGCCATTGAGCTTTGGTGATTTGAAGTTCCTAACTCTCTGATGTTGTCTTCCTTTTTCAAATGAAATCTACGGAGCAATATATAGAAGTGTGTCTCACCCTTTTTTCTCTAAGGTAATGGTGTGGATCCATGGAGGCAATTTTATATTTGGTGGTGCTTCTAGGTATGATGGTTCTGCACTATCAGCCTACGAGAATATTGTGGTAGTAATAATTCAGTACAGACTTGGACTCCTTGGATTCCTCAAGTAAGATGACCTATTTCACTTTTTACAAAATACTTCCTATCGTGTTTAAAGCATGGGTAGTTTTGTTTTCTAAATCAGTTGAACTTCTATACCAGCTTCCCACTGTTACAGTGGTTTAAATGTACATAGTTCACTGACATCAGGACTTAAGAACATTAAGAAATGCCTGTAAATTCCATTTGCATTGTCATTTGATTGTAGCCTGCTGTCAAATCATAGTTGGGCTTATTTGTTTCTGGATAGGATGTTTGTTATTGCCTTTACTTCCATCCATTGGTGTGTAGAACAAAAAATCATATAATATAAAGGCCAGGAATCCATCTGTGTATGAGTGAACAAACAGTAGAGGCCAGTAAGTCAGTGGGTCTTAGATCTGACTATGAAGGGCTTTAGATCAGTAGACTATACTGCTCTTTCCTTGGCCAAATATGACACTTTGCACAAAATGTAAGTTGGTGAGGTTTATTTTATTCTGGTATTAGAAGAACTATTATTCTTCCTGAGAAGTTGGCTTATAATGCTTTTCTTTCAGTACTGGTGATCAACACGCTCGTGGGAACTGGGCATTTTTGGATCAAGTTGCAGCTCTTCGGTGGATCCAAGAAAATATTGAACACTTTGGTGGAGATCCAGGATCTGTCACACTCTTTGGTGTATCTGCAGGATCTTGCTCTGTTTTTGCACATGTAGGCATGCAGTAGATATACTAAAAAGTGAAGTCTTAAAAAAAATCTTCAAAAGCTCAATTAGTGTAACATTTCATTCTTAATCTGATTTTTCAAAGTAAGATTAATGGCACACATTGTGCTAAGTCTAGGCACTTCCCCTGTAATTACATAAAAACGTGTAATTCCCCACTGAATCCAGCAGTCTAGTCAAGCATAAAGTTATGGGATAAGGACCTTAATGTAGAATAAATGCTTTCTGTTCTTCCCTTCTTGTCAGGTTTTATCTCCTTTGTCTAAGGGTCTCTTTCATAAAGCAATATCAGAGAGTGGAATTCTAATCCCCCCTGATAAAGATTTACTTCTTTCAACAGACCTTAAGGTAGGTTCGTTTTTTTGCATTTTAAAGCCTTTATAACCTAAAATAGGGTATTTTTTATATCTGATAATTTGGTTAAAAGAGAAAAGGGGAAAATCTGATTGCATATTATGCAACAAAGTTGATCAACTTTATTTTCATGGCATACCTATAAATATATAGATTAGCACTAAGTAAATTTTCATTCAAATAGTCTATTTATTTTCAATCTTACCATGCTCATTTGGTGTTGGAAATAGATTGTACAGTTATGTGATTATAATATCTGTGAGTTGAGTTAAGTATTTTCAGTTACACACATGTCCATTTTCATGCACACTGTAGCTTAGATAGTAACTATGAAATTTATTATGAACAGTTTAATTAGAATCCAGAAGAGGCATTCAGTTTTTATTCAGCTCTGGTCTTTTATGGAGGGCCTATATTTGAAGTAAGTTAATTAAAAAAAAAAAAAAACACTTTAAAATTAAATTCTTCTCTATAGGTACCTTTTCATTTCTCCTCCTGAAACAGCAGGTAGTAATAACGTAAATCTCCCATAAGTTGATTTCCTGAATTTTCTTGCCTTATTTGATTTATGTTACAACCTCGTATTATCTCTACAGCAAGGTTTGTTGTAGAACAGTGAATGGAAATATAGCAAGAAAGAGAAGTATACCAGAAAGATTTCACTTTGTGATCAAACTGTAGTATTTCTAGTAAAACAAAATACTTGAAGCCTATCAAGCTTACCTAAATCAGCCCTTAAATAAAACTATTAACAGTATTGTGTATAATAATTTTCTGTTTATAAATTCCTTAAAGACTACCTCATAGCTAACAGTAATTGTCTTTGTTAATAATTTTCAGAAAATTGCAAGTATATTTAAGTGTGAGACGAGCAGTTCACTCTCACTGATAAACTGCTTAAGGAACCAGGAAGCAAAGGATATAGTCTTTAACAGTATGGTAGGTGAAACTTTACTTAGTAACGGATTTTTTTAATGGCATGCTTGCAAAACTTTAGCTCAGCCTCTGACTAGAGTTCATTGTTGGCCTGTTCCAAAGTTGATTTTTCCTAATTTTTGTCAAAATATCCCCTAAATATTGAAATAATTTCACATAATTTCTCTTTAGAATTTTCAGTGAAGTGTCACAGCACCTGTAAAGTTGTGAGCAAGACTCGAGCATACATATGTTTTAATGTCAGTTAGAAGCAGCACAGGATCAGGAAACCATTACATTACTCCATACCATGACCCAACGAGGCTAGTATTTTATACTCTTGTGCAAAACTGCAAATGTATATTACAGTGGCTGTAGATACTCAGGTTTCTTAAAGCTCTTTTTTGCACCTGGAACATTAAATGTGGACATTTTATTATGTGATTTGAAGGAAAAAAGGAAAATACTATTAAGAAGTAATTTGATCTTTTTTTCTCTTCCTTCAGGAAATCCCATTTCTACCATTAGTTTTGGATGGAGTATTTCTTCATAAGTCACCTGAAGAGATATTGGCTGGAAAAGAATTTAATGCAGTCCCGTTTATGATAGGAGTCACCAACAATGAATTTGGCTGGAATATTAGATCTGTAATTTAATGGCTATTCTTCTTTTTTTTGAATGTTTGTGTTAACTGATGCAGGCAACTCTGAGAAGTTATTTGCTGGTAGGACACTTTTTAAGTATGGCCAAAAGGCTTTGCATTGTTGAAAATATACACAAGATAAACTTTGCTTGCATTATGATTCTGTAGTGACCCAGAACCAGCTGGTCACAAAACAGTGAGACACGCTTCATCCTGCAAGTTAAACTACATGGACATCCTTGGAACATCAATTTTATACAGTATTTTCTTATCCTAAAATTTTAATCCCTCATCCAGTCAGAGAGAGGAAAAAGAATGCAACAGTCAAGGGCTTATTACTAAAAGAAAAACAAAACCAATCCTTTCCCCCACAACGCACAGTATTCAGGATTGATACATAGAATATTATAGAATTCAGCATTGATCACCTTAAACAGCTTAGCCCATATGTCATTATGAACTCTGACTGCTGGTTTTATCATTACCTCTGTGTTCCTTGTTACCATGCAGAAAGATCTATCATTTGAAAATCTCAGCTGGGGACAGAGTATGGGGATTATGTGGGTGTCCCATCCATTCTCGGTGCATAAATTCTTTCTCATATGAATTCCATGGGAAACTCCAAAAAGTGAGCAGTTGCTATACAGTGCACAAAACTGCAGGAGGTGGATTTGTGTCCTCTCTCTTCCTTGTCCTCTTTTCCTCATTTCCTAAGTATTCATGTTCACCTATGTAGAACAAAGCATTTGTTTTGAATCTACGTAATAACTGTGTCTCTAAGAGTGTGCTGGTAGTGAGTCCAAGAAGAAAAATGTAAAGTGAAATCTGTTCTAATTAATTTTGCAGACAGAAGAGTCATTTTATGTAATGCTCTAAAAGAGGAGGACCATTAGCTTATCTTTACTTCAAAGGGTTCAAACAACTGGACTTGAGACAGAGGCTGCCTTTTAAGACTTTTAAGATCTCCCCTACCAGAGGGAAAATAAGCTTTTCACTTCAATTCTGCCCTAATGCTTTCTAGTCTTGTAAGTTTCTTAACAATGTGTGTTGATTTAAGGATAAACTACTTAGCATGAGTAGTTTATATAGGAACCTTCACCAAGGAAACGTTTATTGCAGTAAATATAAGCTTTTCAAGACAGCTGCTGCATCATACCGCATTTTTGCATATGATATGATCCTTCAAAAATAAACACCAGTAGTAAGAATAAAGTGGAATAATGTAGTTCCAATGTTAAAAATATTGGAGAAGTTGAATGGCGCTAATAACATTTTTTTTTTTCTGTGCAGACATCAAAAATACGAGGTTTGAAGGAAATAGGAGATAAAAAATCAATCACTTCAACTTTAGAGTTTTTACTACCAATGATGGTAAGACCTGTTGCACTAATCTAACTTGAGACGTGAAATTTCTTTTTAAGGCATAGAACAGATTTGTGAAGTTTGGTGTTCTCTAATTTCCTGCTTGAGTCACAGTGTTACGAAGACTTGAGGTCATGTTACGCTTTGGGGAGAGTTCCAGCAGGACTACGGTATATGGGGTTACAGAGAAATAGGATGAGTCGGGCCTGGGATTTGGGGAAATACCTTTTTCCTTCAAGACCTGTGAACCAATATTTTTATCTTGTATATCTTTATCTATGTATTTGTATGTAAGATTACTGTAATAGTGTCCCTAATCTTACAGTATGTGATGGCTAATCTCCTGGTTGATGGGTTTCAAGGCAGGATTTTTCCAGTATGTTTACACTAAATTAAATATAACTTGTATCCTTCAAGCAGCAAATTCTAACACTAAAAACGTAAGCTGTGTTTGGAGATCCCATTGGTCATGCCCTGTAGAATAATAGTAAATAAATCTTTCAAGGACTCAGAGAATTTACTTTTGTTATTCCCATCTCTTTTCTCCTGAAGAAAACAGAAGCCAAAGGTATTATGAGGACAAGTTGGTGAAACGTTGTTGATTCCTGCAGAGTTTTAACTCATATAAATCTGTTGAAAATTTGACCTCAGGTGGTTTGTTTAGTTTGGTTTTTGGTGTTGGGTTTTTTTTTCCCCCCACAAAAAGTCTGAATAGGTTTTATTTGCCATCATTGTTTCCCATCAACATGGGTGCTACCCTGGACCTTTGTGCCTTTGCGGAATCTCTGAAGTTTAAAAAGATGACATTTTTAGTTGCTAATTCAGAGTGTGATAATTTTTCTGTTTGTTTCTTGTTTCCCCTTTTTCTCTTAGGATGTACCATCAGAGGTTCTGCCTGCGATAGTGGATGAATATCTAGGAAACACAGATGATCCTGCTGAGCTACGGGACCTATTTCTGGACTTGCTAGGGGATGTAGCAATTGTCATGCCATCCATTAAAGCATTGAATTATCACAGAGGTGAGCTAATGAACACCAGTAGGATATTCAAACCTCTTACTACATGCTGGATCAAATGACATAAATCCCCTGTCATGTGTAGGCAGCCCTTCTTGAGACTCCCACTGGGAACTTGATGGGGGTGCAGAGTGATATAGGTCTGCAGGATTGTGTGAAGCAAGTGTATGTACTCCTTTATCTTTGTGCTAGTGTCTTGCACTTGTGCTCATAGTCACAATATATTGAGAGCAGAGCATGATAACACAGGTAAATGTTTGCTAAGTGAAGTATACATGCTTAAAAATTAAAACATATTATAGCAACCTGAAATTTGTCCTTTGGCCCACTGCTACAGCAGCTCTGTAGTCTGGACATTTTCTGGTATTTAAGTGTAGACAAGCCATGCCAAAATACCCAGAACTGGAAAATAATTTGATGTTATTTTGTTTTCTGTAAGTTTTCCTGAGGTGAATCTTTTCTTTTTTTTTTGTGTAAGTGCTGTAAGTTCTTAATTTTGAATTAAAAATAAAAATACATATTTGAATGTAACATTACATTAAAAATGTGCCCAGTATAAAGCTTTGGGCATATTTAAAGTAATATTTTAAACAGCTGATGTCAGCCATAACTTATGCATCTCTTCTTTAACTCTCTAAATATTACGTCTTCTAGAGTCTGGGGCTCCTGCCTACTTCTTTGAATATCAGCATCGACCCACTTCATACTGGGATAGTAAACCAGAGTATGTGAAAGCTGATCATGGAGATGAAGTTGGCTTTGTCTTTGGAGGACCGTATCTGGCCGGTGATATTCAGCTACGTAGTAAGGAATAGAACATTCAATATTCACTTAAAAATTACTCTCATAACACTTCCATTTTAATCAGGCTAAAATGCATATATTAAGAGTGAGACCAAAGTATAACCCTTTCTCCTGTTAGAATTTGTTTAACACTAATTTACTGGCTTCTCCATTCTTCATCATGTACAGATAGCTGTTTCTGAAGCACAGTAAGTTACACACGTTGTCAACAATTTAGCAAATAGGGCATTTGCTAGAAAACATCGCTGTCATTATACCAGCACTGTTCATGAATTTGCCAAATAGCTTTGGCTGAAAAATAAATTGAAGAAAAGGTCAATTAAACTTGCAGAGGGTTAGCGGAGTACTTGGGAAGCAGGAAATCTAGGCTGTCTTCTTTTCCTGAGGAATTTAAGCTAATGTCTCCTCCTTTCCAGGAAATCCCACAGGCTGTCAGGCTCCAGAGAATGGGCGACTCGGTCTCTTTTGCAGATAGTGTTCCAGTTGTGTTGATTAGAGCAAGGCTTGGAACTCCAGTGTTTTCATTCTCTGCATGAAGATCTAATGGTTAGGTTAAAGACTGTTTTCTCCTATGACTTAATTAATATTTAAGCATTTTATTGCCTTGTCAGTTTGGGCATTTGCATAGGATTCTGGAAGTTCTGGTTCCTTCAGGCAGAATCCCATGTTGTTACAGTCCAAATGAATGTGCCAGTCATTGAACAGTTAAATACAAGATGCCACATGCTCAGGAATATTATGAATCCCACAATTTGCTTTAATTGCATATGCCTAAAACAATAATACTCAGGATGGAGTATTTTCTTTCCCATGAAATAAATTAGAAGCAGTTCTTATTTTGACAAAGAAACACAGAAATTCTACTTAGTTTAAGTGAATTCTCAATTTTTTATGCTTTTATTTTTGTCTTTTGCACAGTAGTTCAAAGTCTGGTTCAAAGCCTACATAAACAAAAGTATTTCCTTTTACTCCATTGAACTTTGAAGCAATCCAGCTATGTTGTAAACGCATTCATTAATCTGTTACTAGAGCCTTTTGATTTGCTTATATTTTAAATATATTTTTTATTTATGTTATCCTACACTAGAAAACACTATATGGTTCTTTTTCTATTTGCCTGAATTTACTGAGAGCATTAAAATAGCAAATATTTTTCTTGATGTATTGAGATGCATGTATAATTAATAACACACTGTAATTAAAATCATTTTCACCTACCTGATACAGTGGGCATATGTGTAACTATATTCAAGTGAATATTCTTGAAGTGTTGAGACATGGAATGACATCGTCTTGTGTCAGAATGAAGGAATCTTTGCCTAGTCGTGTTCTGAATAATAGGGAGAATTTCAGTCCTACAAAGCTGGAATGAAATCTATGAAACTAAACATGTGGCCCATTCCTTGAGTAGAAACGGGACTCAGGAGACATGGGTTCTTTTTTTGGTTCTGCTTCTGGTTTCCTGAAAAACTACAGGCAAATCACCTTATTTCCTTGTACCCCAATTCCCCAATTTGTAGAATAAGGATAATTATTCATAAAGAGTGCTGAAATCTTGTCTTGATGATTGCTGTATTACTAACATATTGCAGGTGTGGTACCTCTGTTGTAATCAGTAAGTTGTTACAACATATTCACAGACTGAAATGCTGCTTCTGTAGTAGCAATGTTTTGATTTCTGCCACATGTGAAAATTATTTTGTATTTTGTCTCTCAGGTGAAGTTACAGAGGAAGAAAAGAACCTTAGTAGAACTCTAATGAAGTACTGGGCTAACTTTGCTCGAAATGGGTAAGAATCATGAGATTCATTACACATATTACTGGTTTGTACTGATTCCAAAATGAATTAGCTGTTTGGTGATTCAGTCTTAACTGCTGTGATTGAATTCCCCCCTGCGACTGAAGAGGGCATTCACTCTTTTCTTTCTTTTTTACAGAAATCCTAATGGGGAAGGCTTGGTTGACTGGCCATCTTATAACCTAAACGAAGAATACTTACAGATAAATCTAAAACAAAAGAAAGCCAGAAAGTTGAAAGAAAAGAAGGTAGACTTCTGGAGAAAGGTGATGTTTGAAAAGACAAATAACAAAAGAACAGAAAACAAGAAGGTTAATTCAGAGTTATAATTTACAGTCTAAACATGCACATATGTCCTGGTTTCGGCTGGGATGGAGTTGATTTTCTTCCTATTAACTGGTATAGTCCTGTGTTTTGGATGTAGTGTGAGAACAACGTTGATAACACACTGATGTTTTAGTTGTTGCTAAGTAATGTTTACGCTAGTCAAGGACTTTTCATTTTCCCGTGCCCTGCCAGGTGCACAGGGGGCTGGGAGGGATCATGACCGGGACGGCTGGCCCAGCGGGGCAATGGGGTATTCCATATGACGTCATGCTTAGCATATAAGGCTGGGCGAAGAAGAAGGAGGGGGGGGACATTCGGAGTGATGGCATTTGTCTTCCCAAGTAACCGTTAGGCGTGATGGAGCCCTGCTTTCCTGGGGATGGCTGAACACCTGCCTGCCGATGGGAAGTAGTGAATGAATTCTTTGTTTTGCTTTGCTTGCGTGCGGCTTTTCCTTTACCTATTAAACTGTCTTTATCTCAACCCACGAGTTTTCTCACTTTTACCCTTCTGATTCTCTCCCCCATCCCACCCGGGGGGGGCGGTGAGCGAGCGGCTGCGTGGTGCTCAGTGGCCGGCTGGGGTTAAACCACGACAACATAATAGGCAAACTATTAGGATAGTAAAAGAAATTACTTAAAATAATTTTGAGGGTAAAGTTATGTTTCCTTTCTTTTCACCTTTTCTTCACAGTCATCATACTTGCATACTATAATAATCCAACTGATCTATTTCCCCTTTGTGATCTTTTACTTCTTCCTGGATTTGTGTCTAAGAAGCCTCACTTATTAAATACAGCTACCAGATTTCCCCACTGCTCAGGTTTTTCTATTGCTTCCCCATGACTGAAGACAGAATGTAGCAGCAACATTGTTTTAATAAAGTGAAATCAATGAAGACTCGATCTGCAAGTAAAACTGTCTTTTGATGTCAAGTGTGTCAGCGATGGTACAGAAGATTTAGATACAGAAACGTCTCCTGTAGGAAAAAAAAAAAAATTGAACTAAAAGATGTTCTGCTTTGTAAGTCAGTTTTACAACAGAGATCGTGTATTTCTGACTGTTGTGATACATAATCGGTACCAGTAGCGCTAGAATTAAGACTTCTGTCAAATATTAGAAAAGGGAGAAACAGTATCCACTACCCACACTTTTTTATATTTTAAATTTAGCAATAACTCCCTTAGAAGGATCAACATCAGTAACATTAGTTTAACACTTTCTGTCTTTTCCATGGTGCTTTACACTGTGCTCCAGGCTGTTCTCTGTGCCATCAGTCAGTTCCAGATTCTCTGTTTGCACTGGGTCACAGGTCTTCATTACTAGCTTTGGAGAGGGATTCATTTACCAGAATTATTCCAGTGCCCTTACTGGCTGATACAGAATCATAGAATCATTTAGGTTGGAAAAGACCTTTAAGATCATCGAGTCCAACAGTTAACCTAACAGTGCCAAGTCCACCACTAAACGATGTCCCTAAGCACCACATCTACACGTCTTTTAAATATCT